TAATATATATATATATATATATATATATATATATATATATATTTTTCTTTTCTTTTTTGGTTGGAAAACACGAGAGTTCCATCTTCCTGTTGGAAGCTTAGTCCCACGGTTTTAGATCACGATCACAGACCTGATGCTGTTGCGGTAAGGTAGGATGCTAAGCGGTAACTTCTATATGTCATGTACAAAATAATAAAATTTAGATACAGAGAATACTTGCGAGAAAACATGATTAGCTTTTTGGTAAAATGATTATCGATCTTAAAATATAAATTCAGAAAAGAACGCAAGAAATTTTATCAAAAAAATATATTTTTTTTAAATGCTAATTTATTTTTGTAGTGGACTTTCACTTTTTTTTCCCCTTTAAGCAAAAAAAAACAGTTGAAAAAAAACATGCTCCTTTCTTGAAAAACCTGAAAAAGCTTAATTAAATAGCGTGAGTTTTTATTATCTTCATATTTTTTTTTTTTACATTTATATTTTATTCACTATTATTCATTAGGTAAAAAAAGTCAAATATTTATATTATATCCACTAGATTTTGGATGTTTATTTAAGATTTTATTATTCAATATAAAATAAAAAAAAAAGTGTGAGAAAGATTAATGTATATATCTAAATCAAGTTTATGAATACCCATATGCACTAGATAAAGTAACTTGAAAAAAATTTCTCATTGATTATTATTTGAAATTATAATTCCAATATATTCGGATTAAGTTGTCATCACCAAATTAGAACAAGAGGAGTCCAAGCGAGTCATCAAGTTCCTTCGTAATTCTAAAAGGAGGAGGAGCACCCTCTGAAACTGTGGATAAAGGTTAAGGCGGCACTTAAAAATAACATCATAGCGCCACGACCTCCAGTGTATGGATACAGCATGCTGGACCTAACTTGTTATCCATTAACTAATGCATGCTTAGGTCAAGTACTTCACTTGTCGTGCGCGCTCGCGCGCGGCGTGGTGGTGGTGAGTGAGGGTGGGGGGGAGGGGAAGCCTGATAGCCGTTCAACTTCACTATCCAACATTTGATCTTATTTATATCCTAAAAGGCAAAGAAACAAGAGGAAGCAAAAGTCCACCACCCAGCCAGGTGGCTGCCAAACAGATCGTTTTTCAGGGCCACTCAACAGTATTTTGCGTCTGTCAGGATCGACAGACTCCAAGCATTATATGTCATTTCTCAAGCATACATAATTTGGTTTCAGCCACAGTAGTGGTAGTTTGCTTCACCCAATAAGGATAATAATGAAAGGTGTCACCGATTTTGTGATGACATTCTCTCGGATCCATGCCTTTGGCGGAATCTGATGCCGGGATCTGAACCACCACCAGCCTGATGGAATGTGCTCCAACCTGAATCTCTGTCAACCTGATTTAATGAGAATGACGGCAAATGATCTCTTTCCCATGAATGAAATCGAGTTGGTGGAGGAGGATTTTCTGCTTCCTGGAAGTTCCGACTTGATGCTCCTGATGGAATGAAATAGAAGCCAGTCTGATCGGATGATGAGGCCACTGCTCCTACTTGGGACATGCCTCTATGACTGCTGGATCTTCGGCTTCCAGAAACAACTGGTGTGCGAATAGGTGGAGAATTGCCAGGCTGTAGTTGTTGATAGTATGCTTGAAGGGCCTGAACTCTATCACGTGCTCGTGCGTTACTGCCCTGGTACGGTGGAATCATTGAGGAAGTAACTGAACTCCCCGGTCTAGCACTAGAACTGTGGACGAAAGAGGTGCATATGAAGCAATTATACAGTAGAAAAGAAAACGAAATAAGCGTCAAAAACAAAGGGGACATCTGTTTCAAATGCTAAGCACTAACTGTTTCTTCAACCTAAAAGGTGTCAGCAAGAAGCCTAAATAATGGATTTTCTTAACTATATTTTTCATGGCAAAGAATTTAAATTTTCTGAAGATATACATACCCATGACCAACAAGGAATGGATGAATGAAAGATCCTGATCTTGGTGGAAGATCTGAAGAAGTTCTAGCTGACCTTTGAGCAACAGGTGGAACAGAAGGCTGATCTGCATTACCCATTCGATTGCCTGTCGTAGAGAATGGAGGAGAATGGTGCTCCCAACTGTGATAATGGACATCCATGGCGGGAAAAGCATAGGAACTAGGGATCTCACTAGGTACTGATGGACCATTCCAGTGACTGTTAAAACTAGAAACGTCTGAAACACTGCCACTGGAGTTCGAAGATGATGGGTGAATTGGTCCAAAATAAGCAATATATGGGCAAGGATGAGTAGCAGATGATACTGCCGTGGTATGTTCGCCAAATATGGGATGTTGTCCCAATAAATCATGATCTGCATCATAATATCAGTCCTATCAATATAGTTAGCCATCATGCCTCCATTCTGGAACTTGAAAGAAAATCATTACTCAAACAGTATAGAGAATCTCTTACATGCGTTTGATGAAAATTCCCCTTCCCTGCAACATAGAAAAATTAACACCTTAGACAAAGACCAGTGCCTTACTTGAAAACAGATAGAAAAACCAAGCGGACAGCATATATAGAAAAAGTAAAACTACCGCTCCCTTGGAACCAAAAAGCAGTTTTAAGAGACAAGAACTGGTGCAATCCTCCTATCCATTTTATTATTATTATCATATCTATGTATTGAACCACGTAGTTTTACCCCAATATGCAGAAGGAATAGATAAAAGCTTTGACCACCCGAATTTCAACTAACTTAAGACTTCCCCAAATGGCTTACACTAAAATCTGGTACCATTGCCATGACATTCTGTATTAGGTAGATTGTGGTGGGAATCAGCCAATAAAATTTAAAAGTTCACGGATTCTGTAGTAGAGAGCAGTTTGCAACTTTCAAAATACCATAATAGAAAACGTGGACTGGGTTGCATTTCCAAAGAACTACCACGTTAGGACATGAAGTTTTCATTAGAAATCTGCAGCTCACATGCAGTTATTTTAGTAGCTCTTTTGTTATTTAAAGAGCCATGAAGCATTGGAAAATATGGCATTGGAAAATATGGACTAGGCTACATTTCCCAGAAATAGTAACAGCAAAATCTGCAACTTTGTGCCAAGTGAAAAGTAAAAGGGGAGAAGATGTGTAAATGCCAAGTGAAAATCCAATGATAAAAAATCTTAGCATAGAAACAGGAACAGGAATAACTTTGTGCTCTAAAATGTAATTGATTGTAACGCTTACTCAAAGGATGAAGGAAGTCGTGCTAGGCTGCCAAATGGACACCAATGAACCCCAAACGACTGTAAAACCATTTAGAACCAAATAAGTAAGAAGTTGCATGTCAGATACAATTGAAGTGCATCCATGTCCCTGCACACATGCATATGTAAATACTCCCACACGCACAGAATTCATCATAAGCAACAGTTCAGGAACACAAACCATTCCTGAAATGCATATTATACCCACACATGAACCAAAAATGCTACTGAGAATCTTGCAGAAAACACAAATCTAGGTATCAACAGCACAAAGAAATTTAAAAGTAAATGTCCAAAAGGATGTGTCGCTTCTATGAGTTATCTACGCATGCAATAAGCCATTAATATAATACAAAAAATAATTTCCCGGTGCCCAAGGCAAGAGGAATTCCTCCTGCCCAGCACATGGCAATCTCTCAGGGTATCCACGTGTCAGAGAATATTTATTATTTCACCAATATATATATGATATCCAAATCACTCATCTATAGTAAAAAGGTAAATTTCTTTATAGACAAGATTATATGAAAAAAAAAATAATGAATAAAAAATAAAGAGCAATTAATGCTACCCACACATGATAGCTTGAGACAATCATGTGTTGGGCAGGAAGAATTTCTGCTGCCATGTTCGTATAATAAAGAGAAATGTAGATAGAGGAATAAATCTATTACTTTTGAAAAAGATGCATCAACAGCATAGTGCATTCAAAGTACAATGTTAGATTACAATTAGACTGGATAGAAAACCTTTCCATCCACCTCACTTTAGTAAGCTCTTAGTTGCACCTTGGTGGCATCTTCAACTCATCTCCTGAGGAAAATCCAAGGAATCTAGAGTTGGTAATACAAAATGGCAAGTTGTCCTTGTGCCTCAGTTCCAAGGACAAAAACAACTTTTTACCTCAAGATCTAATAGAATTACCAGCCTATCCATGTGGCTGTGTCGACGGTCTAAATTTAAGATACCAGAATCTGTTGCAAAGAAGATTGAGAATTCAACCTTACTTCCCATGTTCCAAACTAGAGAAAAAGAAAGAGGCCATGGTGTTGATTGCATCAAATGGTTAGCATATCAATACTGAACTTTGTATGGGAAGCTGCGTTTCTTTTTCAGTCCAATAAACATGAAAGGAAGTGCACAAGCATCCTATCCACCTCAGTCCATTTATCTAAAATACCTAGATGATATTGGCTAGACTACACTGATTTTCTTTCTTTAATGATGTAGGAAGATAGGAAAAGGATAATAAACATAGCCATAGGCTGTTAACTGGATCATATGGCCAAATGAGAAAGGGATGTTTCTTATAAAATTCTCAAAATATCATGAACATTCTTTATTACAGCAATGGAAGTCCTTAAATAGCAAAGAAAACTCTGATTAAAATAAATCCTAGCCTTTAAAATAACTTAATTTTAACAACCAGAAACATTATCATAAATAATGCAAAAAAGTAAACTAGATGGAAAAAGACCAAACTAAAAGAAACCTGGCACGGTACCATGCTACAGTCACCCTTAAAACTTAGCATACTGCTTTGAATTTGCTCCTGTATCATTTGGTGTCTCCTAGCTTTACATTTTTGGCTTTTGGCTTTCTAAGCATTTCAAAGGAGTAAACTGTTTAGAGAGAACTTTCAGTTATACAGCTTCTTGCTTTACAAGCAATTAACAACAAAAGAAATTGACATTTTTACATTCCATCCTTGATACAAAGAAACAAAAGACATAATATATTCAGAGGTCCTAGGGGGGACAACTTAATAAGAAAACAGGTTTTACATATCCCAAAGTTGATATTTGAACTAATACTAATCCCAAGTAACAAAGGGGCTGCAGAAACTGGGGGGGTACTTGAAGGTTTCACATAACATCAAAACTCAATATAAATATGAGGTTTCATCAACTACCATACACTTGAACCGTATAAAAGTAAAGTATTCATTTAGATAAAAATCCATTTACCATTTCAGAGTAGCTTAAGTCATAAAGGTCCTCATCATGAGCCCAGTCATCCATGCTAAATTCTGGCAGTGAACGACAACCATTTGCATAAAGCCATTGGCCCTTCTCAATTTTCCGGCAATTAGGGCATTGCATTGCACCCTTTACATTAAATGCTGAGCCGATGCAGTCTGAAGATCATATGAAAACATAAATTTCAACCAAAGAAGAAGAAAACAAAGAAATACTTGTCAAATACAAAGTCAGTGATGAAATACAAGTGAGCACATTGATTCACCATTGTGTGGAAAGAATCTTGCTGGTGGTCTCCAAAGAGAACAAAACAAACAAGAACAGAGTGATACCAAAACCCCAAACATAAAAGAAAAAATGCATCTCCAAGCACTCAGTCACACAAATAATCACTGTTGATGCCTCCTAATGGAAGACCATTGGGCCTGCTCTAAAAAGCTGTAAAGAGATTATTGTACATGCAAAATTCATGACACAATTCCATGTTCTCCAACAAATGCTATCATGAGTGTTCTCTTTTGTTTCCCTTCATAGGCATTTGGTGTGATGTCCTTCACTTGTTTCAATAACACGGTCAATTGATATTTAAATTTGATTTTGAATACTGAAAGAATAATGGGCCTAGAAGAAATTATTGTTGTGTGATAATAAATTCTAAAGCTAGTATTCTTGGACTGTACTTCTGAGCATTGTTGTCAAAATCACAAGCTGACTCGGAAAATCAATTATATGAGTCAGCATGTATCGAACTTGTAAAATCAGACTAAAAACTCAAAAATCAGTAAAACCAGACTTCAATCGTGCGAAATCAATAAACTCGGCCAAAATCATGCAAAATCATGATTTTCACCGTGAGTTTACGAGTTTATAGGAAGTATAAATACTTTCAAATTAACTCCATTTTCTCAACCTTAGCCCTCCAGCCGACACTAACACACTCTCTCTCAAAACACCCCTTTTTTTTTTTTTTACTTTGTCTGATCATTTCCTTTTCCTTCCTTTCTGTTTTGACATCAATTTTGGGGTCGGTGTAACTTCCAGGTTAGTGTTTCTTAAACTTGTTATACTGTTGTTATGATTTCTCTTTGCACCCTGCATTCTTGAACCGAAGGGGTCTTGTTTGGTTTTGTTTCCACTTGCTTCTCATGAAAGTACCCTGAATTCTTTTCTCTAAACAAGATTCTGGTTGATTTTGTTTCATCTCACAAGCATGGCTTTCTTTCCTTTATTTAATTCCTGTATTTATGATGTTAGGTTAAATCTTTATAAAATTGTTGACCAGACATTTTTTTTAATATCCTAGTGGATCTCCCATTGTTTATTTATTATAAGTATTTTTCTATGTTCGTCATAGACATAGACATAGCTTTTGGATTTGAGTATTTAAAGACTTTGGTAAAGACTAATGATGAAGCTTGTTATCTTTTTGTAGGAAGCTACATAGTATGTATACTTGTTGTTGCTAAGAGGATTCTAACTTATAGCCAATTAAGGTATGCCTTGTCTCCTTCCTCTCTGTGTACATTGTATTTTCTGTGTAGTGCAAAGTTGCTAAAATGCTTTTTGACACGATCCTAAAATTGATGTATAACTAGAGAGGAAGGAGATGGAGACGATCAAATGAAGTAAAACAAAAGTGTTTTGAGAGAGAGTGGCAATGTCGTAGGATGGAGAAAGGGGAGTTAATATGAAAGTATTTATACTTCCTATAAACTCGGGTCCGAAATCGTGATTTTGCATGATTTTGACCGAGTTTACTGATTTTGCAGTAGTAAAATCCGATTTTACTGGTTTTTTAGTTTTTAGTCCGAGTTTACACATTAGATGCATGTTGACTTATAAAATCACACGATTTTACGAGTCAACTTGTGATTTTGACAACAATGGTGTCTTGTCAGAAAAGCGTTTTTTACAACCTGAGCCATGCCACAATATTACAAACCCAAAAAGGGCAGATTAATGAGAATTTGAGGTTGGTGAGCAGCCTTAGTACACTAAGCAAGATTACTTAGCAAAAGGCATTTCTCAATGGAGTAGGATTATGGATTTAGTATTTTCACTCTGTAAAAGTCTAAAAATTAAAAAAAATAAATCACATTAAGAGACTGCAGAAATCCTCACAAACTAAGCTATCCTCTACACGCTTTGTCAAAGCATGACTTCTAATTAGTTAGGTAACTAGAAGCGGTAAAAATTTTCATTCATTCTTACCTTTTCCTAATTCATAACCCACCCCCATTCTTTTCCATCACACAAACTCATGGCCGATTTCTCATGATCTCTGATTGCAAAATGCAAAATCTAAAATTCAACAGGGATACAAATCCAACTTCCACTTTCAAATCAGCATCACATCGGATACCACAAAAATTCAACAACTTGATTTCAAAAGAAAGATCTAACAGGTGCAAATCATAAAATTATGGCCTAAAAACGATCACACATGATTCAATCTGCTACTATCTAACAAGGAGCCGCAACCATTAATCACCATTCAGCCAGTAACTCAAAATCCAATCACACAAGAACCCAGAGTTCAAAAAATAGCCACGTAAGCATCATTAAAAAAACATTGCACCCAGATCTCAAAATTCCAAATCAAAACCAGAAAACACCAAAAATAAAACTTTTTAACATACCCAGATGAAACTGATGTCCACATTGAAGCTTGGCCCATGATCGATCTCCATTGTCAGCAACCACTTCAAGACAAATCGAACATGAAACTGACCCTCCAAACGACTTGCCATTCAATCCTCCACCACCACCTCCTCCATCTCCATCGTCCACGATCACGTCATTTTCACTGTTCCCCAGCCCCATCTCACCAAACCCAAAACCTCAAGTCCTTAAATCTTCCTTCTTCCTCTACATAAATTAACACTCTTCGCTTTTCTTTCTTTTTCTAAATTACCCCACCAGAAAGCCAAAACACAAAAACAAAACCAGAAGAAAAAACCCAATAAATCAAGGATTCGATTACAAGTGAATTACAAGAGATTATGAGAAAAAGATTGTTTTTTTGGTTGATGGGTTTGAGTTTCTTGTTTCTTGTTTCCTGTTTCCAGTTCTTCTCTCTCTTTTGTTGTTGTTTTCGTTTCTGTTTCTGTGTTCTGTCTGTTGATTTATTTTATCTGATCTTTTGTAGGAAATTATATTGTGACCGTTAGATTTTAGGCGAGGTTGAGGTTGCTGTTAGAGGGTAATAGTAACTGCTGTCTTAATGGAATGATGGACGGTTCAGATTTATTTGGGTTAAGTCTGTGGATTCCGGTTGTTGGATTGGGGTTGGTTCACATTGTTTTATTCTTTTCTTTTCTCTTTTTTAACTCGAGTCATCAACCATCTTGATCTCGAAGGTGAAATTGAACAAGAAACATGTTTTGGTCGGTGGCGCCACCGCCCAAGCCCCAGATTAGATTCGAAAAAAGTATGGGCATGGACTCTTTCGGTATTGTGAATTAATCCAGTTTTTTTACTAAAATAAAATCTATTTGAATTTTTTATTTTGAATAAACCAATATTGTTTTAATAAAAACATCTTAATTCAACATAATCGGTTTTTAATACTACAATTAAAAAATATATGAAAATATTAGGAAGGAAAAAACCAAGAAAAAAGTGGTCAACCAATTAGCAATCTTGTGGAGTTACCAAAAGTGTTTTTTATATTAGGATTTGGTCGAGAGTGGGTGGGTCAAGCGTGAAAAATGAGAACAATGGGAAGGGAATTGTATTCGGATTTGCTTGTTTGTAGTTTTGGGCTCTTGTCTATAGAATTTTATTTATTTATTTAGTTTTTTTTTTCTTGAGGGATATATATATTATCTTGAGATATTTCTAAAATTGATGACTAAATTAACTTTTAGATTATGAAGAATTATGTTTAGTGTGGCGTGCAGATCTACAACGCCTTAATACTTTTCCTTCTTGTTTGTTGGCTGAAAATCTTCTATACCTACGAATTTGACAAGATTGCATGTGATGTCCGGTGTTTGAGACTATTGTAAAAGTTATTTTTTAAATTATTTTTTATTTAAATTATATTAAAATAATATAATTTTTTATTTTTTAAAATTATTTTTAATATCAACGTATATTAAAATAATTTTAAAACAATTGAAACTTTTTTAATTTTTTTAAAAACACAATTAAACAATTATCTTAAAGCATATTAGGAATTAGTGTTGCTTCAATTGTCTTCTTATTACAATTAGAAAATTAGATCAGATCGTAAAAATAAAATTACTTTAAACTTAATTTGATTTTAATACACACAAAATAATATTTTGATATCATTTAGGTGTGCAAAATAAAATTTAAATATTTAGTACACAAATACCTCAAAATAGCATGTTCAATGAACAACCTAAAAACTAAAGTAACTAGATTAGGTATCTAGTGCATACATAGAAAGCAAATCTAGGATTTAAGGTAATTAGCAGCTACATGCCAACTCATGTGTTAATCATAAACTCATAATCATTTTCATTTTTTTAGTGTTTAATTATTATCTAGGAAAAAAATCAATAAAGATAAAGAAAACATGTGGTTATATGTCTTCTATTTGATAAATTTTAATTTAAAAAATGTCACGCAAAACAAATTTATTTTCGTATTTACAACAAAATGTGTTTCTATTTTTTTAATTTCAAACATTAAAATGAATTTAATTAATGAATTATAAACCATATTAAAGGGAATTATATGTTTGATATAGAAATACACACAGTGTTTTAAAAAGTATTTTTTAATTAAAATATATTAAAATAATATTTTTGTAATTTTAACATCAATATAATAAAATTATTATAAACCATATAAAATAACAATAATCTAATTTTTTTAATTTAAAAGAGATTTGGAACATAAAACATCGCACCTACTTCAACATGCTAATGAAAAAAACTATCTAGTTCAATGCACCGTCGCATTGTACCTTGTAAGATGCTAATTCAACATACTAATTAAAAAAAAACTATCTAATTCAATGCACCGTCGCATTGTACCTTGTAAGATGCTGATTAGTGAAAGCAATTAGTTATTGGGGAGACAGGTCAGCACAAATCAACCCATCAATCCCTACTTCCTTTCATAATTTATTTTGTTCCCTTGACGTTTGATGTGTCCATGGGGCTCCACACCATGCTATCAATCCTCATTGAGTTTGAGTAAAATTCGTACCTAAAAGGTTGAGTTCTTGGGTTCGAAAATGAATATTAGTTGAAAATAAATAAATAAACTTAATTATATCAAACTAATTATATACTAAATAGTTTCAAATTAAAAATCCATACTCCATCCACTGCACTCATGGATAAGTTGTTTTCAATATCATAAAATTTATTTTCCTCTGGTACAGATTATACCCATATTAAAATGGCCTCCACATGGGCCTAGGAGTGCAGTTGGAAATTGCAGAACAGAGCATGCCTGGAAGATCACACCCAGTTGTCCATATGGAATGCATAACTGGTAGTTGGCCGGAAGACATGCCTGCCAACCACACCCAAGTTTCCATTCCTCTTCTACTTGTAAACCCTGCGTCGGCCATGGAATTTGGTTGAACATGACAGGTTTACTTGACCTCTGTCCTCCCCAAGGAAACTTCTTGCGTGACTCTGTTTTTCTTCTCGTTTCCACCTTGCCGTGCCTGATCTGGGAATTGACCCGGAAAACAAATTGGGTGGCTAGCTTACCAAACCAAGTTAGATTCAACAGTCCGAACGGATTTTAAACAAATAATCACATGTAGAACAATATATCAACAGGAAATTTTTTTTCTGCATCATTATTTAGAATTCAAATTTGATACATTAAGAAAAAAACAAATACATTTACCACAGAATAAGATTCAAGAAAATATGGATCGAATATGAGTCAGATTAATGGATGGTGAGAAGGAGAGTTTAAGATTTGGAACATCCATTGATTTCTCTGGTTTTTAGTTTCTAGCACAAGGCATGCAGTGTCTCCCACATTTCAATATTCCTTTCTTGTACGTGACAAGGATGATTGGGGCTTAGTGAGAAGAACAGCACAAGACCATGTGTTTTTCTGTTCTAAATAAATTTAAGGTAAGAGTGTCGAAGCCCCACTAAGAGTAAGAGTGTCGAAGCCCCGCTAAGCACTCACAGAATAAGTGTATTCAATGGATATTCTAGGCGTTCGGTATCTCTCTGGTCTCCTTGCCCAGATGGCCTCAGCCCTCGTTCATAATTTGCTTGCAGATTCATGTGTGAACCTTGCGTGCCAGCTTAGAACATGGCAGCTCTTGGATGCTTTGTCACATAACTGGCCCAATGAAGAGTTGGACTTTGTATGGATCGAAAAAAGAAGAAGAAAAGCCTTTGACTCGGTGATTCTCTGCGGTGGGACTGGAAAGATGAAAGCAGCAGGAGTACTTTACATTCGCATTAAAACAAGTTACTGGGCATTGCCATAAATAATATTTTTTAAAATATTTTTTTTCACCACAAAAACAAACACAATAAGAATCTTCAAAGACATACACTGTTAAATTTGAGTCAGTAAAGTATCCTAAGGCATCGCTGTGAAATGTCGTCATACAGAACATTCACCAGGATCAGAAGGTTGCATTGCTTCTAAGCAAACTATTTTGTACAAAGCCTGTTCAACAGATGCAGTCCAGAAACATCCCAAAAGGCAAACCATGTTGTCTGCGCAGTCTGTCTAGATCTTCACCGCTGTTGTAACAATAAAATAAATAAATAAATAAATAAATAAAGAAGTGCCTAGATTTCAAATGAACATGCTCAAAATTAAAAAAAAAAAGCTAGTCATTTTGCTAAACAATCAAGCTTCAGACTTTCCAATTTCCTGAAAATGATCTCATTTCCTGCTTCATCTCCCTTGCTTGCTACAATTTCTGTCACCATTTTGCATTCCTTTATACTCATTGCAGAGAGTTGCACAAGACTTCTGGCAGTTGAGGATGTGACCAAGTATTTCAATGCTTCGCAATCCCATATATGCAAACCTGTTAGATTTCCGAAAGATGATGCAGATGGTGCTAAATTGATCAAACTGTCACAACTCCTTACTTCCAGAGTTACAAGATTTTGAAGAAGCTGGTCCACTCTGAGATCTTGGTTCCAAATTTTCTCCAAAACTGGAAGATTAAAAAGTTCCAAGTATAGTATCCTAGCAAGAGTATGTCCCTCCTCATCAACAAGGCGACATGGGAACAGCTCTTTGAAATAACCATGAGTTACAACAAGCTTTTCCATATTCTGGAATCTATGCATGATACCAAATGGAAATTCAGCCGATTCATCATGAAAGCATTGCAGCTCAAGAACTCTTATTTTGTGAAAGAGGTCTGCTGGAAACTGGCCTTGACATACCTTTGCCGCATCTTTACTGTTTAGCGATAGTTCTTCCAAGTTGGGGATGATCTGGAATCAAAAGCACAAATGCAAGCTAACTATGAAAAGCCAAAGGTAGATATAACAGTTTTTACAGCACATTCAATAAACAGGCCAATCCTTTCCCACCGCTGACAAGTCTTATTGGTGCTTCCAAGTTAAATTTCCTCAGGCACTATTATGGTGAATGATGTTCTAACATTTCCTGTTGCTTCACTCTTTAAGAGCGTTGTTGTAGATTCAGGTTCCAGTTGTAGGGGATTGGGAGGTTCATTATCTCAAGAATTTTGATTTGGTCCAGGTAGATGCAATCACGTTAGTACAAGTTTGTGCCTTCGGGTTTTTACTACAATATCCTATCCTATTGCTTCTTGTTGTGGGTTCTAAAGTGAACTAGTAGAATTCAATTTTTGGAAGGGAGAAGTGTTGTCTTTATTGAATCTTCTTCATAGATTGCATATCTGATTCAAAACCAAAAACGATGATGATTGGGTAGAATGAAAGGCCAAAATGCAAGCATTACAAGTAGATTTGCCTTTGCATCTTAGCTAATTCTTGTCTAAAGTTCTTGTAGAGCATGGCATTATCAAAGGAATATGTTGGAGTTTAATAATGCAAGCAAAAAATGTTCCTATTTTGCACAGCTAGCTAGGTCTAGCTTGAACTATCTTGCCAGGCAGCAAGAGTAACTTTTCGGTTTCTTAACGGTGTCATGTAAGCCTAGGGGACT